GCCACCGTAAGTAAGAAGGCGCGTCGAGTGCGGAAGCCCGGTGAGGAGAGTTCACCTAGCAGCACGGATTCCGAGTCGAGGCGTCCGGTGACGAGAAGCCAAGGCGCGAAGAAAGTATTGACTTCGGTAACCAAGCGTATGAGGGTGGAACAGCGTCAAGTAGCCGAGCCAGTCAAGGATCAGGCGAAAGAGAAGCCTATGAGGGTTAAACGAAGGGCGTCAGAGAGGCAACAGCGGTCGACTTCGAAGGGCAAGGATGCTAAGGAAGTCAAGCAGTCCAAGTCCACGACCGGTAATGACCTGAACACGACAGAAGACCGCAATGCGAAGGAAGGTGCTGAAGAAGCTGGGATGCGGAACGAGGACATGAGGCGGATGGCGTCCACTATGCAACAGTTAACGAGGGCGGTGGCTGAGTTACAAGCGTCTTCTAAGGCTGCGCATGGAGTTGACGGTGAACGACGTCCCAGACGCGCACGTGGAGGATCCCAACAACGTGTGCAACGAGTACGTCGAGCATCAAGTGTCGACGGAGTTGTTGAGGAGGCCCAGGATGCCGAACACGATGAACACGGTGACGATGAGGCACCACGAGGTGATGAATTGGTGACGAGTGCAGCTACGAGTAGCTGTGTAGCTCCGGACAATCACGCAGACATGGAAGCAATGGCGTCCGCTATTCAGAAGTTAACGACTGTGGTCGCAAGACTGCAGCCAGCCCCGGCAAGAGGCCAAAGCCACAACGTTGGTCGACGTGTGGTGCGACGAAGTGAGTCGCGTAATGAGGGTATGCGTTCGAGTGGTGATGAAGACAACAGCCCATCCGGTCGGAGCATTAGTGATAACGACGATAGCGACGATGACCCTAGTGATGAGATCGGCGATGCTGATGATGATGACGGCAGCGGTGGCGAGAGCAGCGAGCCGAGTAGTAGTTCCAGCGCCTCCAGTGATGAGTCGACGGAATCTAATGATCGACGAGGGCGAAGAGAACGCCGACGCAGAAGACATGAACAACGCGTACGTCGTGAGCGACATGAACGACGTGGGCGGCATGCTCGAAATGCACAACATGAAGAACGGAGAAGACAACCACGGCGTAAGAGTGTAAAGGACTTGGAGTTGCAGACCTTCACTCCATCGCCAAAGGTCTCGGTTTCGACATGGATTGACAGAGTAGATCTAGCATTGAAAGGAGCAGCCGAGTGTGGATGTGGAGAATAACCAGATCAAGCGTTGTATTTCATCCTGGGATACAAACTTATGGATAATGCAGCACGTTGGTGGGTGAACATGAATCGACGATTACCATCACGTGACAGGACATGGACTTACCTAAAGAAAGCGCTTCTACGAAGGTATGGAGAGAAACTGGATAAGTCAGCAGCAGAATGGCGTGTGAATATGCGCAGGATGATGCCTGGAGAGACGTACTCTGATTTTGCAGCTGCATTGCGAGATGTGGTCGGTCGTAATAAAGTCAGTGAACGTGTTCTTTTAGCGCGGTTTTTCAGGAACCTAGATAAGACTACGAAGAAGTTGGTGAAGCAGCGACCGAAGCCTAAAACCTTGGAAGAAGCCGTGGATAAAGTCAATGAAATTGATAACCCTATGGACAACGTAGCTCAAGGCATGCAGAACATCGGACAGCCGTGGGCCACAGCTCCATGTCCTTATCTAGTACCAGTTGAAGGCACGACAGGCCAGACGTTAGTGATTCCGGGTATCGGTGTAACTGGATTGCCAACGGAGTTAAAGATGGCGAGTGCAGGTGGTGCAACAGCCGCGGAAGCAGAGCACGGAACTTTGGCTCTCTTTACAAACCCGCAGGGCGTGTGGAACGAGTACTCAGGCGCGTGGGATGTGCCAGCGGGCCGCGTATGGAACGGCAAGTTCTGGTATGAGCCACGGAAGGCTAGCCAAAAACGCTCTACCGAAAATGCAGTCAGAAGTCGACGGGAAGACATGAAGAGGCCAGTGAAAGCCCAGAAGACGAGGGCGGAGTCCCCGATATCGAGCTGCGACGAGTCCGACGTGAAACCACAGCGTAAGAAACAGAAAGCCGCTGTACGGCAAGTGGCAGAACCTCGTCAGGAACAACGAAGTGGCGGTAGTCAAGCACCAGGAAGATCAAGAGAAGTGCAGGACATGCGGGCATGTTGGAAGTTCGGCAAGAATGGACACTGGGCGGCACAATGTCCGACTGGACCTAAATGCTACGCGTGTAATCAGTATGGGCACATGGCCAAGGACTGTACAGACGCTGAAGTGAAGGCCAAGAACGAAGAGAACCTGCGAAAGCGAAAGACCGAAGTCAAGGTGTCGGGAAACGCAAAACCGGCGCAGTAGAGGGGTTACGGCGACCGGAGAATGACGATCCCCAGCTGATGACAAGTGTGGGAACTCGTGGTGTTAACGACGATAAGGACGAGAGCTCAAGGAATGATGATGAACACCGACACGACAAGACATGCATGGTCAAGTCAGTGGAGATGATGCAAGACGAAGTGAAGGACGGAAGGTCAGTTGAGTACGACTTAGAGCCGCAGAACCTGGAGTTGGATGAAGACCAAGGACCGGGAGACGCAGCCGGAAGAAAAGACACGGAAGGCGTGACGAAGCAGACGACTAGTGACACGAACTTGTTGGATCAATTGTGGCAGTGCCTGACTACCGAAGCGGCCAAGAAGGATGGTGAGCGCGCAGCTCGCTATGTGGCAACAGTGCGGCCGGCAATGGCGGTGGGACGGTATATGCGTTCCGATACTATGCCACTAGAAGACGACGAGGAGGACGGAGTGTGTCGTTCTGAAGAAGGCGTTAACGTGGAGACCGGTGTGACGCCGGAGGATGTGGAATGTAACGCCAGTGGTGACGGCGACGTGACCAAGGAAGCAATGACGAAGGGTAGTGACGATGGCGTGAGCCAAGACATTGCCCGAGCGCGAATGGTCAGGAAGCTGGAGTACAACCAAAAGAAACGTCAAAGAGTGAAGCGTGCACTGGAGAAACGACGCGCCGCTGAACAGGAAGCACCACGGCGACAAACCAATGAAACTGAGCAACGACGAGATCGTCAACGACAAGTCAAAGACGCCATTAGACGACTCGAAGAACGTCGACAAGGACAGAATGAGGTTGGGTTACAAGACGAGGGCGGACGAGCCAGAGTTAGCCTCGTACAACGACGACAATTAGGAGTCAAAGCTGAAGTTCCCGACGTAGCAGCTAACGACGGACTACCTACAGCGAAGGTGAAGATTGACGGTGTGACCAGATACGTGAAGCTCGACAGTGGAGCCAGATGCACTATCGCGGGTACTGGATGGGTCAAATACGGAGACAGAGTGTCGTGCTCCGCACCTGTG